GCAGGCCAGTGGAAAATCACACCACGAGGAGTTTGAGTTTGGTTGTTGAATGACATGCTCACTTGCACGCTCAGACGGCTACGGTCACCTCACTTGAAGAGGCATGAGTGTGAATGCCAACTGTCGGTTGTACAATGACAGCATGGCAGTTTATTCTGGCAATCTGCCAATAAAATCAAAGGTCACGTAGAGTGGTGGACTAACGATGCATTCATCTATTATAGCTTTTAGAATGTTGGGACCTGTGAGCAGTCAAACTATTCTAGAAAACATGCGGTAAGACCAAAATCCTCTAACCATATTATTGTCCATCATCTTGACTGACTGGAAACAGTATCGTGGATTTTTTGTTGGACAGCTTAGTGACTAAAAAACCAGATAAAGTCACCTAAAAACGTCCAAACCTATTAAGTTTAAAAACTTACATAATTGTCATTTTAATTGACCATGCTCGTTTTTTAACCAAGTAATGCCTAAGGTTGGTAAAACAATTGTGTAAGTTGAAAGTGATCTTCTAAGTGGGAAAGAGTACCATTTAAATAGCCTATCAATTATCGGACTCTTTGTTCGTTTAAAAATAATAAAATGAATTGAAAACTTAAAATGTGCTGACCGAATGAAAAAAAGCGTTTGGTTAAAATTTCGTTCTGACTGTTATAAAGCTGAAGTGTAAATTTTTATTTATGAATTTAGGTAATATGTGTCTATGATTTGTGTAGCACAAAGCAAACGCATTTTTTCCCAACACAAGGCTACGAAAAATCTGACATTATGAAAGCATTTCTCTTTTTAACACATATGTAATTGGTCAGGTTGATTTACGATAATCAATCCAATCGCCGCATATTTCAGTACACCGCAGCGTGTCCAGCAGTTATGAAGAACCGTTTTTTCGTATATCACTGCCCATGTACCTACTTTGATACTTCCGTATCTCTTTTATCAATACAATCATTTATACTTTGACTAATTTAATCATAAAGGAATGTAAATATATGCTCGCATGCAGCTGCAGAAATAGGTTCACACATCTATTGAACGGTTGTGTCTCTGAACTTTGCATTCTTATTGATATTCTCGGGTACCTGTGAAATGAATCCAGCCCAATAAAATTTTACATCACCAGTGGGGTTCAATACAGCATGCCGCGGATTGCAGAAACAAAACTGTATTCCAATTATTTTCACTCTGGGTTGTGTCAGCAACCTTAACTATCTGGTAATGCGAGCCTTACCTGAAACTTACAGAAAGCCTAAATTGTCACAATTCCGATAATATTTAACCTGTCTCGTTTTGCTTATCCTCTGAGAAATTGTTCAAAAACATGTAACATTATTGAAATTATATAGTCCCAGCAAAGTGCTGTTTTAACCATGAAACCCAGAACATCATAATAGCTCTTGCAGGCAGGACAAAACGAAGTTTTTATGAATGAATGGATTAGTTTAATTTGGCAAAATTGCACAGAGTTAAGCTTTGCATTATTTTAAATGTAGTAAGTATTCGTTTATTGTTTTTTTAAGAAAAATTTTGAAAACGTTTTTAAAAAATTGTGTTTAATCCTTCAGATTTTATCAACACTCAAAAGCAATTAATTGTGCAACCGGCAAAAGATTGGAAGAAAAATTGCCATGACAGGAAGCGCATCAGTGTCTCGGAAAAATCAAAAAAAATAATCCGAATAAAAAGCAACTTAAAATGAGGAACGAAGTCAAACTCATCCTTTATAATCTGACAGCAAAAATCTGATCACTTAAAGTGATGACAATTGAACTTAAACATTAGCATTGCATTTAAAAATATTTTGCCCTATTGTTAAATAAATTTTATAGTTGTTAACAGTTAAATACGCACAAACTTTATATGAGACAAATCTGAATAATAGCGTCTGAGTAAAAATTCTGCAATATATATAGACTGAATTAGTTATAACACAAAAATTTCATATACACCTAATTTACATTGCACCACAAAAGACATAGTTTTGCAATTATAACAAACGTTAAGATGCAGCGGATACTACTTAGATACTGTACAGTCAAAAATTCAGCATACGTTTGATGGTTTTACGTAAGGTCAATGAGATCAGGAAGAACCCAATTCCTTTAAAACGCAGCAGTCAAGGCAAGATTGCTGTAACGAATCAGAAAAAAACGAGTATTTAAAGGAATTGGTTTGTCAATATTTTAGTGTTATATTAGGTTTAATGATCTTTTTACGTTGATATTTTTAGCATGCTATTAAATGAACATAAACGATTCAAATAAATAACTTAGAGAAAGTTCAAATTTATTTATACATGTTTTTTTAAATAACATTTGACATTGCGTTGCCTTAAAAAATTAAAATTTTGAACCGTTAATGTTTTATTCCACTGCTTCGACCATGAAGCAATTTGTCTTTTTGTTTTAGTAGACTAGGCAGTCTTTGTCGCGCTAATTGTGGTGATGGGTCGTCGACCTGCGAGATGGTATTTACGCCGTTTATTCATTATGTTTTAGTTATCGCTACTGTAAGAATAAGCCATACCCCAAGTCTCGCTTCTGTCGGGGAGTTCCTGATCCTAAAATCAGAATATTTGATCTCGGAAAGAAGAAATTTGGGGTCGATGAATTCCCTCTCTGCGTTCACATGCTCTCAGATGAGTATGAACAACTTTCTAGCGAAGCTTTGGAGGCTGCTCGTATCTGTGCTAACAAGTACCTAGTAAAGTACTGCGGCAAGGACGCTTTCCACTTGCGAGTACGAGTTCATCCTTTTCATGTTGTCCGCATAAACAAAATGTTATCATGTGCTGGTGCCGACAGGTATGAATATTTGTGGGTTTTACTATCGGTAGGTTGCAAACTGGCATGCGCGGGGCTTATGGAAAGCCCTTGGGCACGGTTGCCCGCGTCAACATAGGACAGGTTATAATGTCCGTTCGTGGGAAGGATGCCCATAAAAGCCAGTTCATTGAGGCATTTCGTCGTGCCAAGATGAAGTTCCCTGGGCGGCAGAAGGCAAGTGATTCGTTAAAAAAATCGTCTAGTACTATATCCGTACCTCCTTTCGCGTCGCTTGCATCCGTGTGTACTGTTGTTCGTACAGAACAATAGAAGTTACGATGCAATATTGACAGTTTCAGGTGTCAAAGGTTCACCAGTAACTGATAAGATTCGTGATTGTGCCTTAACCTCATGGATCTCCACTACTGTCTTAGTTTTCTTAAATTTCGCAGTCCTCGTCGGGTTTGGATTAGAGTTAGCATTCGCAATACTTCTTTTCCATCTTGGATATGCGTCGTCGGTAAACTATAGTTTACCTTGAAATCATATCCAAAATTGATAGCAATTCACCACTCTTTGGTCATGCTAACATCATTACCGGATTCCGCCAATATCCAATGCAACCAGACGTTTTTTACATAGACTGAGATGCGACTTATTAGTGATTCGCAGCTCCGTAAACTTAAGACTCTTTCTCGTCATAGATCGCTGTTTCCCAAAACTGGGGCTTCACAAAATGGAAACGTCAAACTTTCCAGGAAATGCGCAAGGACGGACGGCTGCAGTACGATGGATCTAATGTCAAGTACTTCCCCGAGCACGGTCCATTGGAAGTGTGGAAAAAGACCCAGTCAGTCTTGTTGGGCCTTGATTAGTTATTTTACATAAATTGGTAATTTTGGCGACTGCTCCTCTTTTGCCTGTATTGGGTTGCTTCTTTTGGTGGGCACAAAGTAGTGTTTCGTTTTCGAAAGGTGACATGGTCTCCATCAGCCCCTCCCTGCGTGTAAAAGCGTCAACGTTAGTGTGTACTTTGAGTCCAGTCTTAGCTCCCGCTAGGAATGACAGCGGTACTGAATGCTCTGTTCAGCGCACAGAAATGCGAAATGTTGCTCTTGGTGTCCTTAATGACTTTAGTCACGTCTGTCTATGGGATCTCGTGCGTGGAAGCCCGGCAGTCTGGTGCGATCCGTGGCGGTGAACGCGGAAGCTATGTTCTTTGGAGCTAGCGTGGCTGTCTCAACGGCAGCTGGTTCACTAAGCATCGAAATAACGTGTGAGAAAGCTCATCTTAGCAATTTTGGATGCACACAGTCCGAGTCATTCCAAATTGAAAAGGTGGTGCTATCTACCGGCGACGGAGCGAACAACTCCGCCGTTTCGCTCGCTTATACTGCGCATTGCAATACACGTTCGACATGGTGGTACCCCATACAACCCACATCCCCAATCTTATTTATGCTATATTCCTGCCACCTTTGTTCTGATTGAACGCCTAGTTACCTCAGCACCTCAAGTACTGGATAACCCGCATGCCTATCTACGGGCACTTACGCCGTAAGAGCCTGACCATTTAATGTTTGCCGAATGTGATATTTAAAGCGTCGAGCATCGTTCAAGTACGGTTCTGTGTTGTGTAACAATAAACCTGTTAATATAAAAAATAAGAGCACTAATGTTTGGTTACCAGACTGCTCTAAGATGATATACATTAGCAAATACGAAGAGATAACAGATTGTAACAAATGTACCTACAGTTCGACTCGAAAAACCCAATCAATTAAAGACTTGTCGAATAGGAAACAATGGAATTACCCCATTTAATAATATTCCTGATAACCGAAGTGAAATGACGAAAATGAAAATACAAACTGAAGGCGTGACTACCTGGAATTAGTGATCGAGCAAATATTTATGCAATTTCAGGGCAAATTCGTTTTGAACAAAGACTTGGTCGAAACAAGACGTCTTTTTTAAAAGAAAATATAAAAGAAATCTGGTTTTTGAATTCATGTATTGAGTAGAGCAAATGAATAACTGCAAAACCATACATAATAGGGGAGGAATCCTAGAGTCAAGGTGACTAACAAGGATATTTACATTAACAGTATTTAACCCATGAAGTTAAATACTGCCAAATGAAGAACTATGTGTGCAAAAATGAAATTGCCGAACGCCCACTCGGGCATATAATCGGGAAAAACACCTTTGTTTTGGGGATTGCTGTGCATTCTCAAACACACAGCTAAAACAAATGAAGCTACTGTCGAGATAAATCCCGAAAGAAAGGCATTGAATGGGAATGTTCCAACCAAGCAACAGTAAATAAATTGAATGACCCCGGTAACAAAGATGTAGACAATGTATGCGTCGATTAACTTGAGCTTAAGGGGTGTTGACTGTCGATATTCATTATAAATATCCAGAAATACGGAGAGAATATGTGGTTCTGATTTTGATTTGGACTGGATTAGTCTCTCAGCTTGGACCTTTGCTTGCCTAGGAGCCATCAAAACCTGCAATGTATTAGTGGCGCCAAACGATTGGTCGAGTAACGAAACTTTTAATTTACTCACAGTTCAAGCATTTTATAACACCTTCATTTAGCGCACAAAATTAAATTAAATGCAATAATTGATTTATGGATTTAGGCAAGTGTGTAAACCAAAAAAAATTTCTAGAGGAAGATTAAAAACCTACCCTGTGAGATTTCGATGAATACTTGTCTATTTAATCAAAGATTTCTTGTCTTAATTTGATAGCTGGCCTGTTTAATTATTGGGCTGCTCAAAGAATAATGGGTTAATCATCATATAATCAATAATAAAGAATGTAAAAGAAATATTACAACTAGATGCGACTGTGTATTTTTAATGGTAATTCCAAAGTATGGATTTTAATTTCTATCCAATTTTTGTGCTTTTATTGAAAGTAATTTTCTCGAGTTAAGCAAAATATGGTGCAGTTAGCAAATGAAAAAATTCTGTCACGAATTTTAAAAACATTTTTGGAATCTTATCCATTATCAGTTGATGGTGAATGTTTTCACAGTTCGATATGCCACGAATTGTTTTGCAAAAGTTTATACAACCAAGCCTTTTCAATCTGCATCCATGAGGGAAAATACCAAAAGTGCTAAACGACAATTTGTATCCTTTATATGGATCACACCGAAATCCTCTAATGTTGCATGTGATTGATAGTCTAATTTCGCCTACTACATCAAGCACACAAGCCTAGTGTCACTTTGCATGGCTACTTTGGCTAACGCAATGCAGTTTCGGGCACCATTGTTGCAATTCTGCAATAACTCAGAATTTGCCGAATTGCATGCGCACACCGGTCAATGCATTATTCATCTGAGATTGCACATGAAACCCATTCAAGCTCTTGATAGAATTCAGAGGTGTGCGTATCCATAATTAAAGCGAAGTCTAAAAACATCCCCAGTGTTTTCTCAAGAAGCATATTCGCGAGAGTGAATAGAGGCTAAGACCAAAGCATTTAGCCTTAATTTTCATCATCCCTAAAAACACTGTCGGTACATCTAATTAAATAGAATAAGTTGTGTATCAAATTGATTTACCTCTTTTCACGTCATCACACAGACCACATTTTCATCCGTTTTAACACTCATGCGCAATCGATTGCCCATGCGCCCCTGTGGATTTACCTCCATTGCTTCTCAAGCCACTAATCTGGCCATTCAGTAATTTGTGCACGATGACGCGGCACACAACCAGGTTGGGCATTCAATAAAACGGTTGCCTCTCCCGTATCCGGTCATCTTTGCAATCAATAGACCATGGCTTACTAATGTGTCTGTAGGAATGTGTACCTCGGACAGATAACACTGAATGCACCTAACCTCATGGGCCCAATTCCATGTCTCACAAGTATTCTGCCTGTTGTTTATTCGGAATAACCTCTGCCAGAGGTATGACCCTTGGCTTTCGATGGGTGTCACATTATGCTAAGTTTGAAAGCAAATCAAGCGCTTTTTGTTCGTAGCTGCTAGTTCAGTGTCGATTTTAATACAAAAAGCACAGACGGATATCTTCAACGTGTACTGCAGAGGCAAGAAAACTGCCAAGGCTCACGACGAGGCATGCAATACTTATATCGAGCTCGCATTTTGGGATTAGCTTCAGGAAATCCGTTTTGCGGAATCTGGTAGGCCTACCGAAGTTGATGATGACCACATCCAAACTACAATTGAAGCGGACCGTCAGGTAATTGTGCGAAAGATTGCCGAGGTATCCAGTGCAATATGAACACACAGCAAGTGAAATAAGGTAACGCGACTCGCGCATGTTAAGAAGCACGACACTTGGGTTCCAGGTGGGTTGAAAGAACCTCACTTAAAACCACTTATTATATGCGACACGTATCTTCAACGTAATGATATATTCCTTACCTTTGATCGAGGCTTCACTGCTGATGACAGTGGACACTACAGTGACATCAATCGGGATCAACCATGGAACAAGTGTGACGAACTATGACCAGTCACATCAGAGTAAGAATAGCATCAAAGAAAGCGCACCATTTAATCGGTGAGATTACCAGGATGGTGTGTACGTTTACTTGCTTCCAGGAAATCATTTCAGGCGTTAGCTATCAATAACTAACGCAACTAGGTTATAAATCAGGTATAAAATAGGTTGCACCCATACTACCCACTGTTCTTCTATCAGACAACCATTTACATCGATGTTCAGAACTTAGTTGTTAATTAGGAACCTCAAAAGAAAGTTTGCCATCAGATCAAATCATCGAAACTACTAATAAGATAGCTTTACTTTAATATTTCGAGATGTGCAATGAGAACCGGGAACAATAAAACCACGCACTTGACCTGAGAACAAATTCCATGCTGAACACTATCTATTAGGAAAAAAATCGCACAGTACTAACCTGACATGCTCAAAGGTAAAACTGAAAACAATAAACGTGGCAAAAGATATCCTGTTACAAGTACGTACAAGGGACACTCATGCAAACTGGAAACTCTTTAATACTTTTAAAAGGATGTCAAGAAGAGTTAATTGAAAAGAATTTCCTGAGCTTCCTATGCGTGCTCCAAGTAACTATTCCATCTTGTAAGGAAAAGTTCCGGCTTCTACCTGTTCATCCCACGCTTCAATCTGTAGAAGTTACAATATCAATTAAACTAACCATAAAGGCAGGGCACAAATCTTTATAAACAAATTTGAAGTAGTTGCAAGGCTTGTAACTGTCTCCGTAAATTCTAGTGCACCTGTGGAAATCTATATAATTCTGAAGACAGTTCCTGGCCAGTAAACTAATAAACACACAGCTACCTGGTCTGATTAATATTAGGAAATCTGGGGTCATATGGTGCAGACTTAACAAAAGAATAATCGCCAGTCTCCTTAGCTTTTCTTGCCTGCTCCCGGAACTCATCAATGTCCACCATCATTACGAAATGTATGGCGCAGCCATATTGAAATTGATGATCGCAACGAATCCAATACGACAGTGAATATGAATAGGATATGGAGATCAGCAGCCGATGAAAGAAGGGATAGGTCAGAAGAGCTATTTAAAAGATGTCGCAGTTGCGTTTTGGGTCTTGGATTTATAACGCCTGATAAGTTATTTCATCATTTGTATAAATTAAGTTTAACCAGTCTTCACCATTCTGCGGCTCGAGTACAATATCGATGTGGTACATGGTCCCAATCTAAGCGCAAATTGAAATGAAAGATCGCATATATGCATCTGCTATACTTCCAAAAAAGATTAGAACTTAAAAATTGCAATAAAATAATTCTAAAGATAAAATCGTTTGCAGAATGCATTTAACCATGGCTGTAAATACTTCATTAGATTTGCCACCGAAAGAATTTTGAACTTCATTCGATTGGATTTGCATTTATACATGACTTGAACCCCTTACAATACCTAGCAGTAACAAAATAACTGCCAAATTTAATTGCTTTCTTTTAGGTTTGTGACCAATATAATTGTCAAAATATCTAGGTTATGATATGTGGTTCCACCATCAATGTTGACTATCTGGCATGCGATAGAAAACTACTCTATGTAATTCCATGTACGTCTATGTAATTCTAGACTACCGTATGCAAATGCAAGGAAGCTAAATTTTAAGAAGATTATTAGAGCGGGGAAAATATGTTCGAATGAAGGGACATTGCTACCATCAGACATATGAGCGGAACTTAACCTGCTACTTTTTGACTACGATACAGATTTAAATTCGCAAATTAAACGTCATTGCCCATTTTGTTAAACTAATTTACAGTTGCCAGTTTTCCAATTACATTAAAAAATGAATATGATGTTAAGTGATTAATTTACAGTTCAAAATGTTAGCCTTAACATGCCGTCACGGGTAATGACGTTGCGGTGGATAAGTACATTGAGCTATTGAAAGGTATCGACATTATCAACTTAATGGTAGAGTGAAACTATTTTATGAATGCTAATTTCCACTTTAAATCCCAGAAAAATATTTTTGACTGAAGCTTTTTTAAGTATATACTTGCGAATGCCGTCACGCTAGCTTTTTCACAATTGAATCTAAGTGCATGCTTAACTCCGATTTTGAATAATGTCTGTAGATTAAGTCTAGGCATGCGACACCTTAAATGATGGAAAGAGCTACGTCGATCAAATCCACCACAGCCACAAAAATCGTGTATAACAAAAGAAAAATACACTGATGCGCCAGACAAGAGACAATAAAAATGCTCAAACTTGTGTTATTACGCTTGTGAAAGCGATAGATTCTTGCGAAAACTTGCTGAAAAATAAGGGCCTTTGTGATAATTACTTTAAACAGTTAATAATTTGGAATTATTAATCCTGCTCTTAGGGTTTCACAATTTTTAGATATAGTAAACTTTGTTTCCGTTAGTACCATACGATTTTTTTAATTCTTTCACAATACGAGATTTTATGGATATGTGGATTAAAGTGCGCCTCACGAAGCATTTTTCCTGGCATAGATGGCTTAAAACGTTTGGTTTACATGCAGATAAGAGGATATTTTTGTTTTTTTTCTTATAGAAACTATCCTTCATGAAATGATAGTGTTTATCACTATTCTGCAATTGAACTTCTACCTTTGTATTATATTTAGCTGCCTGGATTTCGTAACAATCAATAGTGATTTTTATTATAAAAAAATCTAAGTAATATATTCGTTGGTAAATAACTAATTAAATGTAGTTTAAATTTTGATAGTGAGATTGTTTATCTGCGTAGAATGAGGTTGCAATTAACCCTTTAATCGGTTGGTGACGTCGTTCACTTTTCTGGCGGTGATGTCCGGCTCTGTTGTCCTGTTTGCGTTCCTTCTTTTCTTTGGAGCTGCTTTCGCAGGCGATGACTCCAAAGTTCTTGTCCTCAGTGAAAGTAATTTTGACGAAACAATCAAAGCACACAAATTTATTCTCGTTGAGTTTTGTAAGATGGTTTTTGTAATAATGATTAAATAGATGCCCCATGGTGTACTCACTGTCAGAGACTCGAACCGGAGTACAATAGAGCCTCTCTAATTCTTGAAGAGGAGAATTCTGAAATTAAGTTGGCGAAAGTTGACGCGACGAAGGAAACTGATCTCGCTTCCAAATACGAGGTCCGGGGCTATCCCACGATCAAGTTATTCAAGGAAGGGAGTCCTGTTGATTTTAATGGTGAACACACTGCAGAAGGCATTGTCAACTGGCTTAAAAAGAAGACTGGTCCCGCTGTCATCACAGTTGAAAGTGTTGAGGAATACGAAGACATCATAGACAAAAATAAATTCGTTGTTGTCGGTATTGCCAAGGTATTCATTTTCTAGTTTAACGCTGTATTCTCTTATCAGGACGTAGATTCAGATGAATGGAAAGTCCTCCATGATGTAGCATCTAACTCGGATGAGGTATTTATACGTCCTACAGCTCAGAGTGTCCTTGACATGTTTAACTACAAGGATGGCTTGAAAATTGTCTTGGTTAAAAAGGTATAAAAATTTCAAATTATTTTAGAAATGCGATTTAATTCATTCTAAGTTAATGGTCTCGAATTTTTCTTCTAGTTCGATGATCCCACCATCGTATATGATGGCAAATTGACGGTTGAGGAGTTAAGCAAGTTTATAAAAACTGAAAAGGTCCCACTGGTTACTGAGTTTAACGAAGAGACATCTGTTATTATTTTTGGAAGCGACATCAAAAGACACATTCTTGTTTTCATGAGTAAGAGCTATGACGGCTATAAAGCGTACATGGATGTCCTGAAGAAGATTGGCGTTGAATTCCGCGGTCGTGCCCACGTTGTTCTGATCAATACCGAGGAGGAAAGTCACGAACGCATTCTCGACTTCCTTGGCGTCAAGAAGGAGGAATGTCCTACTTATCGCGTAATTGAACTTGATGAATCTGTTGTGAAGTTCAAACCTGAGGTTGCTGAGTTTACTTTCGAATCCATCAAAAGATTTGTTGATAATGCCATCGACCGGAAGATACCACCATACCTCCAGTCCCAAGATGTTCCTGCTGATTGGGATGCTGAGCCCGTTAAGGTGCTTGTCGGCAAGAATTTTGACTCGGTTGCACGCGATAGGTCAAAGGCTGTTTTCGTCGAGTTCTACGCTCCCTGGTGTGGTCATTGCAATCGGCTAAAGCCTATTTGGGATGAGCTTGGAGAGGCCTACAAGGACCACCCAGAAGTCATCATTGCCAAAATGGACGCCACTGCAAACGAATTGAGTGAAATTAAGATTAGCAGCTTCCCTACTATTAAGCTTATCCCGAGGAATAGCGACGAGGTTCGTTTCTCTTTGCAACACAAGTAGTTTACTTAAAGTTGATGCGAACTTAACGAATGGTATTTCCCTTTTACAATTAGGTTCTTGAGTATAACGGAGAACGGACGGTTGAAGCATTTAAAGCCTTCATTGAAAAAGAGGGTGGACTGACAAAATCCACAGACGAAAAGGTGAAAGAAGAATTGTAGGCTCAATGGTGTACAGTGTATCGCCTTTACCCCTTGGCTAGCCCACTTTTGTTTCTTCCTCTGTGTTTGTATCGTGGCTTCCTGTTATGACTCCAAGTCAATCATTTATTCCTTATTTAATTGAAGTTTTGATCCGGTGCTGATTTGTAATTTCCATAATGAACCATGGCTTCCGGCTACCGGTATGATTAAAACCTCGTTATCGGACTCCCTGGTCGACATTTTTAATCTAACTTGGATTCCGTGGGGGCGGAGAGTAGGTAATCTCTGAGTATCACACATTATGGTCACCACTTTATATCCTCTAACTGTCTTCAACTAGTATTTTATTAAAGTAGTTAAAAAACTTCGCAAACTACAATTTTTTTTCATAACGCACTATCAGTTGTCAATAAAGGTTTGGTGCAACAGTTAAAAATCGGTTTCGAATGAACAACGAGATTACTCACCTGATAAAGTTGCTTGCAAGTCTCCCTATGAAACCCATTGAACCAGTAACGTTAATTGCAATATCGTTGATCAACAAGGCGATTACGTAATTGGTGTTTAGCGGACCTAATTTTCCTACTAAGAAAACAGGAATCTAGGAATGCTTTATAAAACTGAATCGTTGATCGGGGAGAAGCAGAAATGTTGGTTTTACTCTGTTGTTGTCGAATGATAAGTGCGTTTCGGAGAAGCATTCGATCCATCAGTTTATCAAAAAGTACGTGGGTTATGAAGTTCAGGCTCAGTGGTCTAGCCGCAGACGTAAACAAACTTCGCAACTGTCACATCTGCACTAATTCCAAAGAAAACGCTGAATGTAGATGTACAAGGAGTTTATCTGAGTGAAGTAAAGTATGCGACACTCTTGACAGCATAAACTTTGTGGACGTGAATGAAACTTCCGTTAATAAAAGTGATGCGAACACTAATTAAGTGAGCAATTAAAATTTCTGCCTTGACATGATTAAATTGATATACTAGGTCCGCGTCGACTACACACTTAAAGATTGCTCGGGATGAGTGACTAGGTGCTGACGCAAAATACCTACACGATATTTCTGCTTAGAATAAACGAAGGACACCAATGCAAACAAAGCATTGAGAATGGAGACATATCACCACTCATTTCTTGTCGAAATGCACCTCAGATCACCTGTTTTTAGACGTGATGTGACGTCAAGACCCTATTTCCTTCTGAAAAAAGCATTTGTCCTGCAAACCCGTATATTCAGCTTTCTACATTTTCTCATCGCAGTTCTGCAGACTTTGAAGTCGTCAATGGAGACAACCAAAAGCCAGTTTCTTAACCGAAACCCTTTAATTTTGCTCCTTATGGTCTTTCACATAGCAACAATACAGGACTGGTTCATGTTTCTAAATTGTCTCTCCTTTGAATGAGCTCATATTTTGTCCTATTACATTAGAAATTTAAGAAAGTGTCACATCAACGGAAGTGCAAGTTGGGCTTATTGATGCCATTTTAGTGTTTATTCACGTAACCACAAAGCATGGCTTTGCTTCCTAAAATGCTCTTAGTCATGCTGAAGACGCGACAGAATAAATTTTCAGATTTTTTTTTAAAACGAGCTTCGTGAATGGTCTGACGTGCATCACATACTTATCCATTCAGTGCGTTTCCTTTATTTGATGTCGTTAAAAGGCACTTCGTTGTCAGTCGTGTACAAACTAAACGTCGGACCTGTTTATATAAGCAGGTCATTTATTTACGAACTGTGTTGATTCTGTTCCACGTAGGAGTCGTTATTTTATTGGTTAAAGATGTTACTCCTATTGGTGACAATAATGCCTTTGCTCGTGAAAAGCAAATCCGTGTTTTAAATCACCATTATATCCGTATAATATCACTTCCATCAGTTTGGTAGGATTTAATCTTTTTTAATAAAAAAAAAATAGCTGCCGTTTTTTCGTGTTTACGATGGCACACGGTCGATGCGAGTTGCTTTGCCATGTTTGTGACATTGAAACAAGGTAACTAAACGCGAAATATGGGTACGTGTATTGGGGTTAATGGATCGATATCCATTGCATTAATTTGTTTAATTACGCCAAAGTTAAACGGAGGTAGAAATTCATTGCCAACATTTTGCTAGTTCCAGGCACACAAATTCCATTGCAAAGCTCAATGTGCGACAGCTCAAAGGCCGGCTGTCGATTGCCAAAGCAAATGGCACTGGGCGAGGTTGGGTCTTGGCATCCATCGCTGGACTCAGGGTTAATGGCACAGGTGACATGTTAAAATAATGCCTACAGTAACCACATCTTTGCGCCCAACCGAGGTGTGCCGAAAAAGTCTGAATCGCCTTTGTTTCACAACTTTCGCTCTTTCTGAAAGTCCTCAATTTAAAGGAATGGAAAGGCGATGACAAGGAATATGCTAATTATAGTCTCCAACTCCATGACTTTTGAATGAAATCAGGTCAAAATGAGAATTGCTTAAAAGAAAACTAACAGCTATTTAAGCAAAAGTGCTTTTTTTTCTTGCATTTGTAATTCATTAGTAGAAAAGCCCTTTTGCATTTTTATGCTTTATAAGCTCAAGTTAACTGTAGTAATTAAGCTGAATTACAACCGTAATTACAAAGATTAGTAGTAGCAGATATTTACAATTACTATAACTTTCTAAAGTGCTAACCTACTAACAAGACAAATACGTGCTTGAGTGAACACCCACTTTAGCAGTTTAACGGCATTGTTTACTTCTTGTTCTTTGTGTGATAGTTGGTCAAAATGGCGATGCGTACAACAAGTTTCGTGGAGATTGAAGTTTGACGATTTCGTTATGCAGGATTTTTGCAATTTGAGTCATTTCATTCATTTCACCAACCATCAAAATCCTGCTAACTAATGCGGAAATGCAAATAATTTGGCTTCCCTCGTTGATCCCGCAGTTGATGTTTTCGCTATGGAGATTCAGGGAAAATAACAAGCGCCAATCAGCCTAAACCTCAGGAAAGCTATGCGAAAATGTTATCATAATAAAGTAGTAATCGAAAAAAAGGCCTTTCTAGTCAAAAATAAGTCCCTTACTTCGGACATCACAACAAGGATCACACAGCCAATGAATTTTCGACACAAAAACTTAATTCCAGAAACGGAATCTGCGTCGTCTGAAAAAAAATCAATTTAAAAGCTATTTAACCTTGTTGTCAGTGTGCCTAAATGCTATATAAACTAACTCTCTTTGGCAGTCTCCTTTTTCTTTTGCGAGGCCTGTTCTTATTTAATGGTTGTGTACGACCACTGTACTCCATTCCCATCCAAGAAAATGTCTTCAATCGTGCGTTCGGGGAAGAATAAGCTATCAATTACTACCTTTCTTTAATTAATAATGAAATCACAAGTTGGTAGGGATTAGCAAAACGTTTGTAGTTGACCCCGTTTCAGCATTTATCCTTAATACTTTTGTGAAGGAAAGATTGACCCAATGTACACAGCTAATATTATTATCAGGCTTTCAGATTCCTCTGGATTTATAGCCAGACCTAACCGAGGTCCTTCCTTTCTCGTTTATAGACCAATTGACCCGACACCGACTTTAATCCCTATTGGCCAAAATCACATGGTCATCGTAGCCGTCTTCTTATTGGTTTTCTGTGCTGAACAACACGGCTGCTGACGTGTAGGTGTCGTGCACCCTGCCTTCACACTAACTGCTGCCATCGCTTTACAAACTTAGGTGCTGGTTTTGTAAGGCATGAGGCTGTCTTGAAAAGGTGACCCACAATGACTATTTCTAAGTACTGTTCAATAGGTCGTGTATTCTAGGCAATGTTCATGTTCTGCAACCTCGCAGTGAAAACTGTACAAACTTGGAACCAAATAAGGTTTCGTAAAAAATTGTCATTTTAAATAATTTGGGATGTTTGATGCATCTTGTCGACATTCCATGTGCTTTTGGTAATGGTGTGGTTAGGTAGCACCATTGCCTTCAGATTAAAGATTCCGATCAGTAATCATTTATTCCTTGCCTTTGGAAAAGCCATTCGTTGTTCGACTACTTTAAGTTAAAATATATGCCGTTTCTGCATTAGCAGAAAGCTCATGTCTTAGTATAAAGTGACTTGGAGTAGATGGTATGTCAAAGGAATAGCTGCTGGGTTAACCAAACGAATGTGAAATTGCAACAGAAATTATGCAATTCACAAGTACAATTGCTCCGTTCCATTAGCTACTGTTAAGCTCCTTGATAGATAAATGCTGATTTTGTTTTTTTTTGCTAGAGGCTCATTTATCTTGATATCTTAAAAGTCGGTTTTTTATTGGTAAATACCGACTTTCCTGACAGTAGGCAAACATTTGAAAACTATCACACCTGCATGATACCGCCTAACTAGGTTTAGCAGCCCTACAGTTTGTTTGTTTGTTTGTGTTTAGGTAAAGCTCGGCATGCTTTTCTGATGCAAAATACTGCAAGCCGAGAGAAAGCGGTCGTCTTCAATATAAACGTACATTTTGGTTAAGTAGAGACAAACCAAAGAAAAGATGAATTACGATGGTTTTCTAATCTACGAATTTTATTTGTTCTACATTTTAAAATTGCTATGGGCTTTTTCGTGACAGCATCCAACTTTAACAAATCTTTAAGTAACTAAAAAAAGCATATCGTGTTTCTCCACACCCCTTGATCAGGTAGCTCCATCGCCATCACAGTTCCCCTTTTCGCAGCGCATATCGCCAGCCGCGCGGATCCTCAACTCCCCCCTCATACACACGGATATTTATCTTGAATTATCCTTACATCCAGGTCTCGATGCTAGCGCATGTATGACTCACACGTCCGAGGTATAAATGCACACACACAAACCCACCACACGACACAACGACATCGACTTTTTTGAGCTCTGAAGTAAACGGTCGTGTCCACGTGGTCCCCGCTCTTTTTCTTCATCGCGGGTATCAAGGAAGTGTAACCGGACCAGGGTTAATTCCGTGGCCCCGGCGTGGTTCAGACCACATGCTGGGGCCCACAACGAGCCTACATGTCTGAATGT